AACTAGATACACATGCCCATACATCCGGATACGGGTGTAACCTGAGGAAACGAAGATGGAGAGGAAAAAACCACACACGAAGTCCACAACACAAGTATCAAAGTTCTCGATAAAGAGAATCACCTATACAAACGTTTATTCCTGGAAATGTCCCACATTTTCATGAATGACAACTGTATCAATAAGAAGACAGATGTTAAGCAACTGAGTGTCATTTACTCATATTTGCTAAACTGTGAAAAATTGGAGCACTTACACATCTCTCCAAACTTTGACTCTTCACAACCATAAATGGAATCTGTTTCTTGGTCTAGTTCACCAATAAACTCCATTCCATTCAAATTTTAATAACTTTTTCCTCATAATTAAATAATAACTGTTAATTTAATTGCCCATCTAATAAAATATAGTTAATTCAACTGCCTCTGGTCGGTTTGACAAATTCTTACCCAACACATATTGAAAATCACACCATCTGAAGTGATTTGGCAACGTAGCACACGCCCACTAAAGAATTTTCGTTCCATCATTCTACAGAGACACTGCTAAACTTCGGCCATCTGTCAAAAGGTTCATCTGACTCATTATTCCATGCGCACCATTTCTTGCAATCATCAAGTGGCTTCACGATGTAATGCTTAACTTTCATTTTCAAAAAAAATTTTTTTTAATCTGTTTTTAAGTTGTTGTTGTCATACAGCTGTGTGTATTTTATATAATTTTGACCATTGTACCGTCTATCCAGCTTTCACCAGGTTACTGGGTGTTTCCCTCATCCTTAACGTAAACAAAAATTAGCAACATCCTCACAAACTACTGTAAGTTAATGCGAATTCATTTGACACTATTGTTGCTACTGTTATCAATGTGATTGCAGCTCCTGATGATGATGGCAAAGACCATTGAAAGCTAGAGAGAATAAAAAAGTAAAAAGAGTCCTCCATGCTTAAATTTTGTCGAAGTACCCAACAAAAAGCGGAAGCTTTAATTTTTCCCCTATACACATATATAGTATAGTATACCATATATATATATATATATATATATATTACTAACAATTTTTGGTTACTATTAGTCCAGAAGTAATTTTGTAGCTGAAATCATTGTTGTTGGTGGCATTTATCTATACAATCAGTTTAGTAGCTACTTCAATTAGAATATTTGAAATTATAAGGGAAACGAATTATGTGTCATCGTACTGCAGCAGCAAACGACAGACTTTTAACAGACCATTAAGGCTCTCTGGCTACTGGGGCTAACATAGTTTGATTGATAATTTGTAAAATATGTAAGTTTTAGCATTTATATTACCAAAGTTATATCCTAATGTTTTAATTTTTAGAAGTACAGTGAAAGCTCCCATAAGCGGACACTCACGGTCCCGTAACTTTTGTCCGCTTATGGGAGGTGTCCGTTTAAAAGAGAGTATGTAAGTATAGAGTATAAATAACGGGGTATATAATCATGAGGAAATGAGGTATTATAATCATGAGAAAAATGAAACAGAAACTCGCCACATTTTTAAAGTATGTATTTATGCTATATATCTATATAATATATGTACATATACGCATACAAAAACATAAATGCTTCAATACATGGTACGAGAATTTAAAAAAAACATTATTCTTTAGCTTGTTGAAAAAAGTTTAAAATGTTTGTCTGACGAAATTTCACCATCTTTTGCTGAAGGAGACAATTTTCGTAATAACTTTCTAAATTTTTCAAATGTTGAAATGCAGTGAAATCATCTTTAGCAAATTTTTTTAAAAAAAGAAATATGATTTAGAGCTTCCCCATATGAATTTATCGTTTTTGAACCGCTTAGTGAGTCCACCAGTTCCACTTCTTCTTCTGAGTCGTTTGGACTACCATATTCAAGTTGGCCTGGGCTTTCTACATCCAAATTCGAAAAGTTTCCAATGGCATTTTCTTCTGTTGTTATGTTATTGTCTATGGAAAGGAAATCATCTACTTTCTGGGGATCTGCTACTCCTAAATGTTTGGCATGTCGCAGTAACTGAGCAAGTGTCGCTAAGGGCAGATCGTCTTCAGCATCGCAATAATTTTGCTCAGCAAATTCTGAGCTACATTCACTTTTTCTGAATCCAGCTTTGCCAAAACAGTTTTTAATTGTAGAGGAATTTACTTTATTCCATGCTGTTTTTATAAAATACAAAGCTTCTAACACATTGATAGACTTTGTAAGCTCAGATAAGCTTTGACCATCGTCAATGTTTGTTAAAATATGTTTTAAAATCAAGTGCCGATAATAAAATTTAAAGTTCTGTATGACACCTTGATCCATGGGCTGACAAACAGAAGTTGTGTTTGGCGGTAAAAATATAATTTTCACATTTTTCATTTTCATATCACGAGGATGAGAGCATGCATTGTCTAAAAATAAAAGAACTTGCCTTTTTTGGATTCTCATTTTCCGGTCGAATTCGACTAACCACTCAGACATGATTTCTCGGGTCATCCATGCCTTTTTGTTGGATTTCCAAGTCGCTGGTAGATCCTTAATAGCAACGTTTTTTAAAGCACGGGGACGAGCCGCTTTCCCGATCACAATCAAATCGCATTTTTCACCGGCCATATTTGCACAGAATAAAATGGTTAGTCTATCTTTAGACAACTTTCCACCCACACATGTTTCTCCTTTAAAGGACAGAGTTTTGTCGGGCAATGCGCGAAAAAAAAGTCCACTCTCATCTGCGTTGTACACATCTTCTGGTTTGTAGCCAAGCAACATGGACGGAAGTTTCTCCAAAAATTGTGACACATCAACTTGATCTACTGCAGCAGCTTCGCCAGATATGCATTTGAAACTCACACTATGTCTCTTGCGCCACTTTTGCAGCCACCCGTCGGACGCACTGAAATTATTATAGCCCAAAGTAGTGGCGATTTCTTTAGCTTTCATTTTCACTAACGGCCCTGAGATTGGAATGTTCTGACTTCTAGCTTTCACAAACCACTCAAAACATGTTTTGTCTATAGAGAACCCTTCCTTTTTTAAAAAATCCTTCTTTTGATTTATATTAGTTCCTGATTGCCATTTACTCCTGATATCTTCCTTATTTTTGGCAATTTCAGCTGCTTGCGTTTTCCCAATATTAAACCTCTTTGCCAAATGACGAACTGAAACACTTTCTCTGTCTAATACGTTAACAACTTCCATCTTTTCCTTTAACGAGAGCATCCTTTTTTTTGGTGCCATTTTACAGTTACAATAATAAAATACGTAACTCAATCAACTACGAATTTGCCTGAACTGAAGACAAGCCACAAGATTACATACAGGCTACCCAACGAAATGCGTAAATGGGGAATCACCTAATATAAATCGGGGAATTACCGAATTTTATGTATGTAGATATGTGCATTGCAATAAGCGGAACTAAAAAATCGTATTAGGGTATTAGAGTTTCGCGTCCGCTTATGGGAGATTTTTTGATCACATACAGGAAAATCTAGTGTCCGCGTGTGCTGTCTGAAAATAGATGACGTCGTCACAAAAATATCTAAAATACTGGGCTTTATACTTTAAGGAAGTACTATTTTGTACCCATTTGCTACCTGCTGCCTGTCAAAGTAGCTACTATTCACATTTCATGGTCGTTGACTATTCTCACTTGTGGGGGAGATACAAAATTAAATGGATCACGTCAGTCAAAAAGTTCCTCCCTAGCCTTACCGACCATTTCGCAATGTCGCCATGGGCGCCAGCAAGGTGTGCAAGGGCGCCCGGGGATACCATGGCCACCCCGAGAATGCATATTTAGCATTATGTTGAGTACAATTTTGGAAACTTGTATGTTCCGCATGGGTATTGCTTATCTTGAAAGGTGAGATTTCGTCAGTTTTTTATAGCGAGCAAACGTGAAATAAACTATTTGCACACTAAAAACTGCCTAGTCTGCAAGACGACATTCCGTCGGTTTTTTTAAGTGTTTCAGGTTTTTTACATAACAGCCGTGTCGGTCTCCCTTGGTAAAATATTCAAAAAGTTTTGAGATAGGTACACTTTCATTAAATTCAACTCAACTTTCGCTTGAGAAAAATTTCAGCGGGCGCCCATGAACGTTATGACTAGCCTCCACGCATAGTCGTCATCCACGGTAGTACGTCTGCTACCACCCACTGCGAAACCCATCTATGTCGGTCGGATCTCAAAGTTTTAAGAGCAAATGTACAGTGATATCCATGATGTGTGAAATATTTCTGATAGGTGCGTAGAATAACCGGTGTATGAAATGCATACTAACGTCAAAAACTACCAACTCCCAAATATTTACCCCTACAAGAAACGAAGTTTGAGCGATTACTGTTCGAGTTATAGGCAGGCTGAGGTTTAACGAAGAAACAGACAAACAGACAGACGCATAGATCGACAGACCGACAGAAATGACTGACGTAATTTTTTCGTAATATCAAAAAAACGCAATATCTTATTCTCGAAATGTTTCGCGACCACAGTACCTCCTCGTCAGTGGTGTAGGAAGAAAAAGCATGAAGATTGAAATGAACATTTTCGCAGTTTGTCTCTGAAACCAGGCAGAGCTGTCTCGTGCTCAATCTGAAGATCTCAACCTACCATTGGTTTACCAAGCTGTTCTTCATCCTCATCCCATTAGATGAAGATGACAGACACTTTACGCCTCTGGATTATAGTGCTTTCAGACATTGGTATTAAATGGACACAGTGTAAAATACCAACAGTAGGTGAAAAAACTTCTCCTTATAATGAACAATACATAATCGTTTAATAGTCACTTCAATAAGGAATGTCAAATATCTTCAAACTAAAGCAGCTATCAACGTATTGTGATGTACTGTTAACTAGCGACAAGTTCACTTTGACCGACACCGTTTTTTTATGACTCACGACATTCATAATAATAAACATCGCAATCAGAAAATACAAAATGCATATCTTCGATATCTATTTATACTTGATAGAATCCATCCATTCCGTAAGGAAACTAGTTAGTTGTTTACAGAGCAATCGAGTCTTTTCCAGCTTTTCTTTTTGAAGAGTTGGCATCAAGCGCAAGTCTCTTGGCCACAAAGACCTGTGAAACTAAAATTAAATCCTGGGTCCATTTTCTGTGCAAAAGTCTGATAGTGCACGATAGTCCTCTCTATTCTCTGATGCTATTAATGTATTAATATTCAGTGTAAGTTTGGATTATGAGTGATACGATATTATCTGTAGGTAGCACTCTTGTACCTACTGCATGACAGGAACAAGTACTTGTTCCTCTATCTCACAAAGTGTGCTGGGAAATTTCCATGGTTAACTTTTAATCCGGTTAATGTAGCAGATCCCTTTTATTGATGCTAAAATTGAAAATATGTGGCACACATGTGGAAAGGGCGTTATGTAGCAAATAATAGTTGCTATTACTTTGTTGACAGATTTCTATCCAAATAGTGTTATGATTGAAATTACTTTGGTCTTGTATAAACTAAGTAAGTCACAAAAGTTGTTTTTCTCTAGGTCTTCAAATAATGGCTGATGTTGCAGCAGTGTCAGCCTTTCCATGGCTTGTATGCCAATATGGCCTTTTACCTAAATAAAGACAACTTAAGAGCCTACTAAAAATGGCTCCCGAATTAGTCTAAAAATTTTGCAAGCGACGTGTTTTTTTCACTTTAAATGCCTTTTATTGAAGGACATCAAGTTTAGTACCGCATTACATCTGAAAGAACTTGTCATTCGAAAAAAGGACATACACCATATAAGTATAAGGAATAAAAAAGCGCCGTCTATACTAAGACAAGACAACTAATTACTGCTTCATCAAAACTTGTGGCAAGTTTTAAGAAAAACGTAATATTGTTGTGGATAATATTTTGTCATTAGCCTAATTATCTTAGCAAATTTCCCCGAAATAATTGTAAAGTCCGGCTTTAATGGTGCAAGTTTTTCAAGGGGGTATTTTAAACATTGACGCATAAAATGGGTATACCGATTTTTGTGGGAAAACTATATTTGACAACAAACAATGAGAAAACGTGTTTTTTGGGATTCAATCGAAAGTGTTGACGGAAACGAAAAAACTTTCAATATAAGATTTTAAGGTATGAGACCTACAAAATGAGACCACACGTGAAAAGGTCGGACTAGTAGCAAAAATGTTATGGCCCAAAAACGAGGCAAAATGCAGTACGATTCATACTTCTTAATAACGTCAGCAAAACAGGAGGATATGGTCAAGTAGTTTTTTGGGAATTTCTAATGGGTTATCCCAAAACATCTGTTTTCTGGCCATCACTAGTTTATTGAGCTATGTACAGGATTCGTTCAAAGAGCATTTACTAGCAAAATATACGTGTTTACTTTGCAGATATGATTAAAGGACCATTCTGGAAGATAACTTTTATTTTTATGCGAAAAACAAAGACTACGTTTTTTTGCGCTACGATATACGAAAAACATGCGTTACTATACACATTTTAAAATAAAGCGGATGTGTCTATCATCTTTTGTTGCCCCTTGAACTAATATATATTATTATTAATATTATAACTGCTCTCGACCATAACGTTCGGCTCATCTAGTCTTACATCAATTGAGCCTCAATTTATTGATGTTTGAGCACCGAGAGTATTTGGTAGCGGTAAAGCTAAACTCACGGATTACGTCCTCAAACAGCACTGCATCACATTAACCAAATACATCGTCCTCTATGTACGCAGCAAATCCATTTCGATTTCGATTCCGTTGCCGAAAAGAAAAAGCCACGTACACGCTCGACAGCTCTGCTACTGATGATGGCGGCATTGTAATTAAGCCATTAATCCGTCATTCACTCGATGCACAGCTACCGTCAAACCCTTAACCCACTTAGCCCTTATCCACTACGGAACGTTTACCCGATTTATATAAAGAATGCCAACACGTTACACCAGAAAATCGATCAGTCTGGGGCAGGAATCTGATAATACGAGCCCCTTCCCACTTCAGTTGGTCCAACTATTGAAATCTTAGTTTTTTTCTTATCAAACACAAATAATAAAAATGTAGCAGGGTGTTATAGGTTTAAAATATTAATAATCCCTAATCAAATTTGCAGCATAAAAATAACACATGTTGCAATTACAGCATATCAACCTATTTTCTTTTCAATGCAAAATAAGTCTATAACGCATAGGTGGCTGTGAAAAATAAAAGCCATGACAATTGTTTTTATTAATCACAGCTGTCACGTTTAAAATAGTTTTGGGTAGTTAAGGTTTTCAAAATGGGTAGAGGAAAGGTTATTAGTGAGAAAATTCGGTTACTGATAATAAATTTTTTTAATTCTGGGAAATCAAACTCAGAAATTGCAACTTTGTTAGACTTATCGCGGTACAGTGTGAGAAATATTGTTGGAAGATATAACGTAACCGGTTCAGTTAAAAGTAAGCCACGATATGTGAAAAAAGTAATATCACAAATGCCGACCGAAGAGCATTAAGAATAATAATCGTGAAAAACAGGCGTGCCAATTATTTACAATTAAGTACTCTGTGGAGTGACGCTATTGGAAGGAGAATCTCGAGGTCCAAAACTCATAGAGAGGCCCACAAACTGGGATTTAGCGCTTGCAAGGTAAGTTTTCTTATAAAAAAAAGTGAAGTAAGAACCCTAAAGTTGCACAACTTGTTTATAGGCCAAAGAAAAGCCACTATTAGCTCCACTGCAAAAGAAAAATCGACTTGGATGGGATAAAGAACATAGACAATGGACACCTCAACAATGGTGTGCAATACTCTGGAGTGATGAGGCCCGATTCGAAGTTTGTGTTTGTGACAGTCGCAGTAGAGTTATTCGCAAAAAAAATGAAGCATTCCATGTTGACTGTCTGAAGTGAAAAGTGAAATTTCCAGCATCCATTATGGTCTGGGGCAGTATGTCATCAAAAGGAGTAGGAATACTTCATTTTATTGATGGAAATGTGGATACAGACATACACAAATATTTGGCAATTTTAGAATAATCGCTTTTACCAATGATGGAAGAATGTTTGACATGCGGTCAAGATTTTGTGTTTCAGCAAGATGGTACAGCGTACCATACCTCAAAAAAGTCTATAAAATGGATGGAAGAAGTTAATGTACAACTTCTGAAATGGGTTTCTAGCAGTCCAGATCTGTCACCTATTGAAACTTTGTGGCACGATATGAAAAAGGTTCTACGACAACATCCTGCTCGTACAATCACCGAACTGGGTCAAAAGCTTCAAGAAATATGGGATTGTTTAACACCAATTTTCTGCCAAAACCTGGTTAAGACTATGCCTCAAAGAATTTCAGCCGTAATAAAAATAATGGTGATGTTACCCAATAGTAATCTTTCATTTGTTGCTTTGTTAACATTTATGAATGTGCATTTATTCGCACATTGTTTATTTGTTCAGATGCTCTATTAGTTATAGGTCTAAGTGATTTCAAATAAGTTTTTTTTACGACTAGAGTGTATCTAAAATGTTTCTGAAAAAACAAATTCTTTTAGAAGTAAATAGTTTCGTCGTGTTTAGTTTATAAAGGCATATTTTGGTACAAACCTTGAAGTGGGCCAACTGAAGTAGGAAGAGGCTCGTATAACGCACTGGCGTTGCTAGTTATTCACACACTGAGAATACATTTGTTCGGAGACGTGACTATTACCACAGTATACAGGGTGTCCGCAAAGTTGGGGTTTTCCTTTACACGACGTGTAGATTTTGAAAACATAAGCAATTTTTCTTAGTACTATATACACCAACGTCTTAAGGGAACCGAGATAAAGGGCTCTGCAACATCAAAAATATCTGAATACCGTCCTGTAGCCGCGACCCGCCGGGATATCCCCGACTGGACAAGGTCTCAACCCGACGGCAGAACTAGGTCGGGGTCAGTGTGTGAGGTAAGTATGCAACCTTCAACCGACGGTTACAGTCACGCGTGTAGAGGTAAACCAACTCGTATAATCGATTGCGTTTCAAAAAACAACAAGCACTAGAGACGTGGCTAGAGAAGTGCAAGTATCAACAACTGAAGTGTGGCAAACGCTGCGTGAAGAGGGGCTGTATCCGTTTCACGTCCAACGTGTAAAAGCCCTTCAACCTGACGATTTTCCAGCAAGAGTGCGGTTTTGTGAGTGGTTGTTGCATCAACATGACGATAATCCGGACTTTTTGAAGTGCATATTGGTGACAGACGAATCTACGTTCACGCGTAATGGGGTGTATAACTTTCGCAACACTCATGTTTGGTCATTTTCCACAAACATTTTTGGTGAATGTTTGGGCTGGCATGGTGAACGGTATGCTCATTGGACCATTTATTCTCCCAAATCGATTAGACGGAATGCAATACCTAGACTTTTCACGCAACATTTTGCCTTCCTTGTTAGAAGATGTGCCATTAAGTGTAAGACAATCAGTGTGGTTTCTGCGTCTGCTCGGTAGCGCTTCAGCTAATTTCATTTTCTGTTGGAGCGGTATGATTTCGGGCAGAGACGTACTTAGCCCTTCTCGTCAACTGGAGAGTGAGTACTTTTTCCTTTTTTTTTACTTGGTCGCCCTCGTTTCACTACACATTACCTTTGTTATTTCAAGGATAGTTGTTTCTGAAAAGGAAAACCCCAACTTTGCGGACACCCTGTATACAGTGTTTACCCGACTTGAATGGATATGTTAGGTATATAGTATCAACGTATCAACTAATGAATTCAGGCTAGGTTTAAGGAACAAACCTACACTTTGTTTGCCTTCAAAATAGCATACTGTAGTCTGGATGATAGTGCATACTATAAGAAGTCTTAATATACGTCATTAAATTCGTATTTTTAGTGTTATGTATTCAAAATGCGAGTGTTTGCAGAAAATTGTACTGTTAGGCGAAATCGGAACTTGATACTTCTTGCATAATTTGGAAATAGTGACATAAGCCAAAGGAAGAAATATCTTTCCATCGGTGAGTATTATTATATTGTTGATACAACGTTGTCACTGTGGTAGGCAATTGTTATCAAATTAGTCATAACCTACGTCAACTTGTCTATAAACAATGTAATGTAAAGGGATAAGCTTGGCTCTTTCTAATCTATTCGGATTTATTAGTTTGGCCGAGGGCTTTTCAGATCGAAAACTGAAAAATTACTAAATTCTTTTTTTAACAGATTTATAAAAATACGCCAAATATTTAATATAACATCACTCAGGCACTATCAAACTGATTTTGATGAAATGCACAGTACCAACATCACCTAGTAACAACGTGAGTCAAGTCGTGCGGTTGAAAAGTCCAGAGCTGGATCTATTAGCTTTTTGGATTTCATCAAAATTAAAATCCTTCAATCTCAATATTGAAATGTCTGACAATTTACAATAAAACAATGAATGGTGCTTATCAATATATCAACAAAACGGTTTGATTGGGCCTCTTTGGATTTTACCGTTAAGTTTTATTATCTATTGCAGTACCAACATTCAAAAAAATAGTACTTAAGGTTGAGCTAAAGATGTTTTGGGGGTTTCTTCATATTTTGCCATCAAGCTTCGCTTTGTGATCTTAATTTTGTATCAAATTCAAAGCCTTTGATGGCAAGGTTTCCATAACTTCCTAACTTATTTAACATCTCCCGCATTTCTTGTTGATCTGCTGCCAAGGCAAAATAATTTCCACTATCACATTAACGCTAACGATGCTTATAACATTCGTCCACCTGTAATTAAAATCAATAAAATAAAAGAATAATATTTTTTTAAACATGCCTTCCTTTAGCTGTTCGTAAAATATATATTCCCGACTGGAAGAATTTAAGCGTTAATTAAGCTCCTCCACAAGTTTTCAAATAAAAGCGTGTTAAATCCCACTTCCATCCTACTGTCAAAACGTAATAAGTTTTTATTTGAAAACTTCGGATGGAGGAGTTTAAATATTAAAAACGGTATTTTTTTAATTTACGTTTCATCTTATGAACATCTAAGTAACGTACGTTCCAAAAGTTTTGACACGAAATATTTATCGGATTTTTTTAATGAAGAAATTTATTTGAACACGAACTAGTTATCATAAATTACAACTCATTACTTGACTAAACGATACTATCGAATTATGTTTAGTAACCCAATCTACTCTACTAGACGCAACTTTCTTCGAATGTATCTCATGAGGTCCTGGACGGAATTCAGGTCAACTTCTCACAGTACTTAGTAAATTCGCCGTCTTAATTGTTCTTCGTCTTGGGTTTTCCAGCCTCCATGATAAAACTTCCTAGACAGTAAAGCCAAAAAATCTTCTATTGGGCAAGCCTGCGGCAAGTTTGTGGGATCGCCGTTTTTTGGGAACAAAAGGTATGTTGTGTTGTCGACGCCAGTTTTGGGTATCTCTTGAGTAATGGCATGATGCTAGGTCTAGCCAGATCATGAAATGGTCATTGGCATGATGTTCGTAGAGAAACTGAAGCAATTTGGAAAGGCAGTTGTCAGTATAGCTCCGACTATTCAAAAATTCACCCACAAAGAATTGTTATACACCTCTGTTGAGAATTGCGCACCTGAAAAAAATTTAATCTTCAAATTTCGCTTTGTTTTTGTATCTAACATTGCCAGGGTATTCCTCTACGTGCCTCCTTTAGAAGATCTGTATTGACGAGCCAGCCTCGTTGTTGGCATTCCAACCTGATTTTTTGCTCATCTCACCAATCGCTCTAACCCCTGCGCAGTAAATGTATTCCGCTATTATTCGATAAAAGGTCATGCGTTAAATGTTTTTATTTTTGAATATTCGACAGATTTCAGCTTTGGGTATCCACCCGACCAACTTGTAGATACTTTTCCTTGTTTCTAATTTATGCGATATCCCAAAACGAAACGTTCAAAATAAATAAATGTCAACTGCCAGCAAATTAAGTGAGTCAACTTTTGTTCCCAAAGGCAACTTGATATTATTTTGTGTTTATTAAAATTAATGACAATGAATTTTTAGCTAAAACATTTAGAACATACATTAGAAGCTTGTTTGAAGAAATGTCTGTTTCATTTTATTCATTTATTAGCTTTTAGTATTTACCATATCAAATAATTAGTTATATATAACTTTTAAATGTCTCAATAATAAGGGAGCTTCTTACTTGATAGACCGCTAAACAACCAACAAAAATTATGCTGCTTAAAACATATACATTATTGCGAGATTCATAACTACATGCCGGGTTTTGTAACCCGTTTGTAAGAGTGAACGGCACATACAGGTGAGGGTCCATTCTTGAAAATGAGACAATAACATACAATAATTAGTAGAAAGTGTCGTATTATATTTCTAACACTGTCTGACATTTTTTTAACGTTAATCAAATAAGTTTGTAAATTCAGCCATTTTTGGCAAAATTCTTCATATCCCTAATTGCTTCATAACAAAGTTAATTTCGTTTTCAGATATGAGACTGATGATCAATGGAGAGACTTCCGCACTTTTTTCTCCTTTAGAGCGGCTCGAGGAGCGATCTTCTATCTGTGTTAAGCAAAACAGTTCCCCAAAATGTAATAGAACCACACCCAATTTCCATCAGTCAAATGCTCCCTGGTTTTCAAGGAATGTCCCTATTCTTCGTCAAGTCATCGTCAGCTCTTGAGTCACAGTGTCAGTTTGTAAGTCTGTCAGGTCTGGTAACCCAGACACCAGACAATTTTAAGGAAAAAAGAGAAGGAAAGAAGAGAAGGAAGAACGAAAGCAAAGCGGAAGAGCAGAGTCTTTTAGGCATTGTTAAATATTAAATATTCGATTTTTCTAAAGATTTTGTCAAAATGCTCCAATTTTGGTTGTTCTAAGTTCACGAATTAATTTTGATCACGAGCTGCGGCCTTTTGTGCTTGCGAACTTGCTCGACTGTGTAGTCCACTGACTCACGCAACAGAGGGTTGCTGTGCGATTCCGCTTGGCTATAGCGCCCCTGCGCCTGTTGCCTAATATAGTCCTTTAGGTAAAGGACATCCAGGTCTCTATGTAGAGTTTCGTTACAGACATACCATGGGCCGTCAGCAATAGTGCGCAACGTCCAGCTTTGCAGAAACTGGAGATTTTGCATGTGTGTTTTAGCAATAAAACACCAAGCCGCACATGCGTAAGTCATTGCTGGTCTTATGACCACCTTACAGTAGATGGCCTGCGTTTTCGAATGGTTAATTTTAATTAGCCACCGATCCGCCCAATCTAATACTTCCTCCACCGCACTTTGCAGCCTGTCATGGACTAGGTCACCAGACCACGACTGAGCCACCAATGCAGTATCGTCAGCATAGAGATAGACTTCACAACTGCTGGGGCTAGGGACGTCATGGATGTATAGTGAGTAAAGAATAGCTCGAAGTACCGAACCCAGAGGGACGCCGGCTATAATCAGCCGTGTTGTCGACACGATATTGTCAATTTTGATCAGAAATTTCCTACCTTCAAGAAAGGTTTTCAGTATTTTTAGAAGCCAAAAAGGGAAGTCCTTTTGGATTAGTTTATACAGGAGGCCCGCGTGCCACACCTTGTCAGATGATTTTGAGACATCCAAAAGCAAGATGCCAGTACTTTCGTAAAGTGTGAATCCTCTGGTTACTCGTTCCACCAGCCTAACCGCCTGTAGCTCCGTACTATGGTCAGACCGAAAACCGAATTGCACGTCAGGAATCACATGGTGATATGACGAGATATTTCGAATGTGATGTAGAATCACCTTTTCAGCGAGCTTAGACGGAGCTGACAGCAGGCTAATGGGAAGATAATCCTGGGGAAATGTCGAACCCACCTCCTCTGAAATCAGTATAACTTCAGCGGATGGGAAGTACTGGGTCCTTAGCATGGCACTGACTATTGTCACGAGATAAGTTAAGGACTTCCGCGAAAGCAGCTTCAGCGCCTTATTAGTGATTTGATCCTCCCCAGATGTTTTACGCACTTTAAGGTATTTAATATGACCTTGAATCTCTGCTGGTGTGCAATGCGGGATCTCGGGAGATTCCGCTGATGTGCTAAGCAGATCTTCGGTTGAGGAAGCTTCTGAAGAAGAATCGACTGTCACTGACGCATCCCTATTCTTTGCCGCAGTACAATAGAAGGATATCAAATTTAGACAGTTGTTGACGTGTATCAAACAATTTTGTGAATGCTTCCATTTTCGACAAAAGAATATGTTATTCGTATCGCAGTTCCTATCACAAAGTCATCTTCGTTCTCTGAAAGGTAGTGGTACCTCGGCCAGTTGTTCGAATCCTTTATTTCAAGAATTTCCCCAGGCCGGATCAGTCACTTCTGAAGCGATTATTATCACTCACTTCAATAGGGTATATGAGTGAAATGTAATATTAATTGGTTTTCTGAATTTGATTTCTTACCTATTTTTCTCAACAATTTTACAAAGAATATTCATAATATATATTTACAATTCTTGTTATTTGTACTATTTGCTTATCATATACTTATCGCTGAGCCCCTACTTTGGATATAAAGATCATAGATGTGTCCATGGAAATTATAGATCGACATTCAGCGGTGACCTACATATTGGATCGAAAATGCCACTATGCTTCTTATGTGTCCCTCATTTGATATCCACAGTCAAGTGGTTTCTATGGGAATTATAAATCACCATTTTGCGGTGACCGCCATATTGGACTTAGAATGACGTCACCTTGCTGTGTTTCTCTCGTCCAGCGTTTTCGTTTGATGCCATATCATAGAAATTACACTGGACAACAAATTTTAGTTTTTTAATTGTATCTTGTGGGAAAAGTGCACTTCTTTGTTAATTTTGGGGCGCTGAATCCAAGAATGACAATAAAATAAAAAAATTAGTTGCGGTTTAGAAAAAAAACTGTTTATTTTTGAGGATATATTAAAAAAAGTAACAAGATTCATATACGTATACTTGTAAGAATCACTATATGCGCTGTCTTTTTGCTGTTCTTTTATGGATCGTTTCTGGAGCATCTCTACCAAGAGTCCAACAGTAGTCTGCAAGCATGGAAGGATTCCACTTTCGCCGTGCTCGTCACTTACGGCTCCGCAATTGTCAGGAAAAAAGTCCAGGTGTGAGTGTAGGAAATGTATCTTAAGAGACATATTACAGCCCATCTTTTGATACGATGACAGCATATTTTTGACAAGGGTTTTATAGTTGTCAGCTTTTCTATTTCCCAAGAAATTAGTGACCAACAGACGGAAATCATTCCAAGCAGTTTTCTCCAATACCAGTTAAAGTGTTTTCAAACTGTGTATCTTTCAAAATATTTCGAATCTGTGGCCCAACAAAAATACCTTCTTTAACCTTTGCCTCACTTAGTCTTGGAAATTTCTGACGCAGGTATTGAAAAGCTAACCCATTTCTATCTAATGCCTTGACAAAGTTTTTCATTAGGCCCAACTTGATATGCAGTGGTGGTAATAAAATTTTTTTCGAATCTACTAATGGCATATGCTGTACATTTTTTTGACCTGGCTCTAGTAATTGACGAACAGGCCAGTTTTGTCTGGTGTAATGAAGTGCCTTTGCCCGACTGTCCCATTCACACAAAAAACAGCAAAACCTTGTGTAGCCTAGCTGCAGCCCAAGTAAAAGTGCAACAACTTTCAAATCGCCACAAATATGCCATTGGTGCTCATCGTATTTTATGCATGTCAATAGGTACTTCATATTGTCATATGATTCTTTCATGTGAACTGCATACCCTACAGGAAGAGATGGTAAAATATTTCCAATATGCAATAACACTGCCTTTAAACTCAATGTTGAACTGTCTATAAACAATCTCCATTCTTCTGGGTTATAGTTTATATTTAAAGTCGCCAGTAAGCCGTTAATGTTACTGCAGAAAACCAAGTTATTCTCCTTATTGAAAAATGGTTCTGAGTCTTTGTGGCGTTTACGAAAAACACATACCGAAACATCGTCTTCTAACAGGTTCCACTGCTGCAGTCTTGATCCAAGTAACTCTGCCTTACATTTTGGAAGTTCTAAATCTCTTACAAGATCATTTAATTCTGACTGTGTTATTTGTGCGGTTGGTGGCATGACGTGCTCTGTATAAAATCAGGATCTCTTGACGTTGATGGCATATCTTCTTCCTGACGAATCACTCGATCGCCATGATCTGATTCGTTTTCTGATTCGCAAGTGTAGGATTCTGGGGGTTTTGGAATAGGATTTTCGTCACTGTGAGGTACAGGTCTCATCGCAGATGGTATGTTTGGGTAGTTAATAACCGATTTTTTTTTCTTGGACATACCTGTGGCTTGTCCATCACAAGGTACCATGCAAAAGTAACAATCATCAATATGATTTGTAGGCTCTCTCCAAACCATTGGGACAGCAAAGCGCATAGACCGTTTTTTGCCATTTAACCAGCTCCTCAGACTTGAAGCACATGTATTACTGCAGATGTGGGGTGACCACTGTTTGTCTTGACCACCTAGTTTAAAACCGAAATAAAGCTGATATGCCTTTGTTTTTTAGTGGAGTAATAGACCGTCTCTGAGACGCAAAAGTCACATCACCACACACGTAACAAAACT